GCGAATAGGTCGGGGATTTTTCGCTTTCCAGGACAGATCTACTCTTAGATATTTTTCATAAAATTTTATGATTTCTTTAAAATCTTAACATTAAAAATTTTTAGTTCCCTGTAATGTTTTAACTATTTTTTTTATTTGTGAGAAATCTGCTTGTTATATTTACAATTTGTTCGTTCAAACATGGTACAAATAATGTAATTCTATACAATATTCGGAGTTCGAACTCATTACATTTGACCTGAAACTTTTACTTCTTAGAAATAAATCCAAATCAAATCTTGCCATTTTCCCCTATTTTTTCCAATGATTCCACTATCTCTTCTATATTTGTACGCAATCATGCTGCTCAATCTATCGTGTTTCACAATATGAATGTAATCACTTGAAAGATTTATTTGCTTGTCGAAATATTCTACATAAAGTAGCAGACCTTTTGGGATTTTCTAAAGAATGATCAAATTTCCAAAAATGTAGAAAATATATTTCAGATGCATTTAAACTTAAATTTTAAAATGTTAAAAGAATAATAAATGTATAACGAAAATGTATAATGTAGAAATGAATTTTGATTTAACAATCGTCTGCACTCCATTATAACTGCCTTGACCTCTCAAAAATGTTGGATTCAAACCCAAACTGATTACTGTGTTTATTATGACAGTCGAACATTCTTTTCCTGTTGATCATTCTAATTCTACGTAGCAAAGGAAACATTCTTTGTCTTTTTTGATACCTTGTCAAAAATCTTTTACATATGTATATAGTTTCATCTGCTAAAACCGATAAGAATGCGATTTTCCAAGAATATTTTTTCAATGGTCCGCCATTTTATTGATTTTTGAGCGAAGTCATTTTTGGTAGGAAGATTTGCTACCCTGCACTATATGTCAAATTATGCAAATCATTTCATTCAACTATTTCATTAAATTTTTACATGTAATTTTCAACGACTATTTCTATATTATCGGCAATAACTCTTAATTTTAACTCTTTAATTTTATAAATCCGGTACAATGTAAACGTACTATAATGCAAGTACAATTTAAAAGCTGTATTATTTCTAACAACAAAAAAGTAGAATTAAAAAATTAAATCTTATGGCATCATGAGGTTCGAGACACTACAAATTACGACTGAGCATTAATATAACCGGATTTAGTCGATGAAAAGTCATCGTCGATGAAAAGTTGCCAGGAACTACTTGTGAAATGCAGGGTTATTTGTTGACAATTCGACTTCGTGTGTGAAGAATTTCATTGCCTGGTCGTGACTTTTTGAACCATCTTTGTGATAGAAATTTCTTGCTGGGCAAAATTGTGTAGACTTGTGCTACGACCACTTTTGTAGTTATATTACTACATATGTAGCCATGGGTGTGTTTACTCGAGTATGTATGTATCTGCATACATGCATGTGTACATAGTATCTCTTGTCGGCTTTTTATTTAATCGGAGAACTTGTGAGGTCTATGCCCTGTCTATACCTTATAAAATTGATAAGCTAAACCCCTTTTAATTCCACAAGTTTTTAGTGACAACGATCAGTCATTATTGCGAATTTCAAGAAATTAATATGTGCAGCGGATCATTTTATAAAATAATAACATTTGTGGCTTTGTTGACTTCAAGCCTCTCACTGGAATACCATAACACGTTACATCGCTCAATCAGTGATGCGAATTCCAACCCGTCCATTTCCAAAAACGCTGTTATTGTCGAACATAGTGATACAAAGCGGACCGGTCTACAATCGGAAAGATTAACGGACACACTTTGGCGCACATTTGAGGAATTCGAAGAGCTTCTCGAAAACATAGTCCAGAGCATTGCTGTTAATGTACCGAAAATATCAAATGACGCCGATATCTTCCTTAGCAAATTACGAAATTACACTATCTATGCTGTGGAGATTGTCAGTAACAGAGTTCTGGATACCGGCGATCAATTGCTGCAAGGGATGCTCGAAGATGTGGAACATCAGCTGGGCGCAGTAAAAGTCGAATTTCAAAATTTGGCTTTAAGTGTTGATGAACATTTCGAATGGGCCGTAAACCAATTGAACGAAACGCTGATCAACAATACGGTAGAATATGATTGGTGGACGGCTCACATAAAGCATAGGCTGCGCACAGTAAACGACACCCAGCTCTATCGGGAGGGTTGTAGGACCATTGACGAATTTATACAACGTAGCAATGAGGAACTTCAGAATTGCTGCAAAATATCTATGAAGCCGGTAAAAACGCTGTGCAGAGATGCCAGTTCCCTACTCTCCGAATCGCTGAATATAATAGTCGATGTTATTGATCGTATTCAAAGCTGTCTCGAGGACAGTGACTCCTATGCCCACTACCTAGTTCCCTGCATGAATGTGGCTTATGACAACATTAGCAGTATTGTAACGAGGGCAATGCAAGTGCGACATCTTATCGACAACATGTTACCCATAAAAATAATCTACACAAGGAATTGTTTTGCCATTGTCATGGTTAATATGAAGCGACAAAGGGACAAGATAGAGTCGAATTTATTTGTATAACTGGAATATGTGCTTGAATCATAATAATAAAATTACTATTTGAATAAAAGTGTAAACCATGGAAAAAAATAGAACTAGTTTCAAAAAATATAGAACTAAAGCAACTCTGAAGTGGTATATAATTATATCATATTGATTTCATGGTATAAAAATGAAAGGTAACAGCAAGTGTTGTTGTACAAAAAACGATACAACAACCACATGGAAATTTGTTGTCGTAAGTTCTACTAGTGTCAACTCATTTGACAGAAAAATGTAAACAAACAAACAAATTATCATCAAATTATTTTTATTTTGAAAATGAAATATTTTCGAATCCTCAAAATAAAAATTGAAAAACATGAATGAAAATCAATCAAATTTATATTTCTATCGCTTCCACATCTTTCCTTTAATTGATCCATTGCCATATATATATGTAACACATATGAAAATGCTGGGAATAGCGAGTTATTCCTTCAAGTGTCAATATGAATTTGACAAATTATCTTTTTAAAAATCACCCAACAGGAAAATTGGGTACGCATACAATTTGAAATTGTTCTTTATTGAATGTGTTCCCGTATTCAATTTACTCAATCTGCCTGCTGGGAAAGTTTGAGGGAGCAAATCTTTATTCATTGAATAACTCTCAATTCCCTGCATTTTCATATGTGTTACACATGTAAGTGGCAATGGCTCAATTATAGGAAAGATGTGGAAGTGATAGAAATATAAATTTGATAGATTTTCATTCATGTTTTTCAAATTTTATTTTGAGGATTCGAAAATATTTCATTTTCAAAATAAATATAATTTATTTGTTTGTTTACATTTTCTGTCAAATAACGTGACACTAGTATAACTTACAAAAACAAATTTTCATGTGGTTGTTGTATCGTTTGTTGTACAACAACACTTGCTGTTACCTTCTATTATTATACCATGCGTTGGAATCAAATCAGCTGGGATTTGCTGTTACCTTTTATAATTGTACCATGTATTAATTTTAAGAATTTTCTATTATTCGAAAATACGAAATAGATTCAATAATTCCAATTAAGATTTACAAATTATATTTGGGGTTAACTTTTTTTAATTGACAATTTTATTAAATTATTATTTTTAATTTCCATTTTCCGGTCTTTAGAAATAATGTGAACATAATTCACCCTTATTACGGTTGGCGTAGTCGTGTTGAAAATTTGGCACTGTCGTATTTATACGACAAATCAGTATTATGAAAGTGGTTAAAATACGCCAAATTTGTCGTGAAAGACATCCTAAAAATAACTGGGTAAATAATTTTAACATTTTATCTTAACAATATTTTCTGTTAAACTGTTACATTAAAATTTATTTTATTGCATTTCTCAATATTCATAAGTATTGCACTTGCCAGAAAATGAACTAGAAAACAACAAAATGACATAGTTTTTCCAATACAATATAAAAAGGGTTCTAAAGACCAATAGTTATTGAAATATGACATTTAATTTATTTCATATTGGTAATATCGTATATAAAACAAAAATGTAGTATTGCATGAGAAAAATAGGAAAAATGCAATTCTGTGGAGGAGGTGATGCAAATGTGGTATAGGTTGGTAATGTGGTATAGTCACTGTTTTTGACAACTGCAAATTTTAGAATAATTGAAACATGTTCTACAGTTTTCTCAAAAAAAAAAATAAATAAATAAAATAAAAAATAAGATAGCAATGATCTGTTTAATTTATTCTACTCAGGTTGAGAATCAGTAGCAAAAATTAAATTTTTCATGAAATTGACATTTTTTCGGTTGAAGTTTAAAAATACATTTTTGTTTTACAGATTTATTTTAATATTTATTATTAAAGCATTAAAATAATTAGTAAGTACTAAAAATCAAATAATATGCGTGAGTGCACCCCATTTTTACCGATTTAAGAAAAAATCTATACGTTTATTCAGTAAACACAAGTGCAGGTAATGTGGTATACATTGAGTCTGCATGAAAAAAAGCCAGCACAAAACAAAATCTCATTACTATTTGAAACATTTGTACTCTACGAGAGTCTACCTTGAATCACAAGGATGAAAAACAAAGGATATGAGCATAAACAACTTCTCCATACAAAAATTAAATATTGCCATATGTAGACATTATTATATATCAATAATTAAAGTTCCATTCAACGTATCCGTTAAAAATCTTAAATTATACCACATTAACATCATGTGGTATAACACATTACTTTAAATTGTTAGAATAATACTATTTTCAAATTCATACATGGAAAGACAACACATGTAGCATGTTACTTGTAAAATTTCAATTTAATCGGATAAAAAATAAAAAATAGGCAATCTAAAAACAAATGGGTATACCACATTTGCATCACCTCCTATAGTAATTTCTTTCTACGTCCAATTTAATCACAAATAGATTACATTAAAAAATACTAAAGCACTGTATTGTATGCAAATGTTTGTATATTGATTTCATCTTAGAAAATAGAAACATTGTTTTAATGCCTCCGTCATTTGGCTTTCAGGGAAATCATTCGGTATACATTGCATATATGGTTTTTCTAATTTACGTTCTTCACTCTGACGTCTAGTCCGAGATACTGGTATGCGTCCCCTTTTAATCTTTATATCCAGATACTGCTGCAGATCATCCAATTTAGCCAAGAGCGCTTGGAAATCTTGTTCTGGATTGTGCAAAAAAGTACATCTTGTCTGGTAGCCACCAAATATGAAGCAATTGTATAGTCGTTGAATGCGGAACTCCAACTGGCGCATAATGTGTCTGGTTGTGGTTTCAGATGTCGCATACACATCGTAGACAGTGCCTAAGTCCTTTGTGGAGGCACATTTGAAAATTTCAGTGGACCACAGTTGAAGAAAGTCGACATAGGCATTGCCGCACCATTCGTCTAGTCGCAGGTTCCACGTTGTGAGCACTTCTCGCTGTACGTCAGCATATCTCATAAAAACGCTTTGAGTCGATCGCAGCGTATCGACAATATATTCTAGAGCCTCATCGACAACCTCGGAAAACATGACGTGGAAATATTCCATTTCGGCAAAGTAGTCGGTCAGTTGCATTTTCACACTAGTCGGCAAATAACGCTGGGCCGATGGCACTTGACGAAGTTTTTGCAAGAGAGTAACACTCTCATTCTTCGACACCTCGAAAAAGTTTTCAGCGGCACTGCCAAACAAACCTGCCATTTCCGCCGAATATTCGAAGTAATCGGCCAATCCATATAGACGCTCAATTTTATTGGCTCCACTTTCCAAGTCAGCGCTATTATCCACAGCATTGAGTAGTACATCGGAAGTGGACAGATTCTTCTGGAGGTTTTCGACGAAATTCTGAAGTGCAAATTGCAAATTGTTTTTCTTCTCATTGCCGCTCCTAAGGGCTTTGAAGAATTGCAACGAAATATGATCACCACTAACTGGATGTGTTGGAGCTCCCAATCTTATTGGCGGCTTCAGGGCATCAGTATAAGAAGTATAAGACACAATCGCCAATATGAGGTATACCACAGTTTTCACGAAACTCCACATTTTAATTCAAGTATTTTTCGCTTCGAAATATCCAAATATATTAGGTAGACTAGAACGACCAAATCTATTTTTGTATGTTTAAAAATAAAAGAGCAAAACCGAACATATATGCTGCCACAACGCTCATCGTCCAAAATTAAACTAAATTTGTTTGTTTACCTTAGCAGTGGTGAAGCTCATATGGTGGCGAAGCTGATTGTGGCACAACAATCGTCCATAGCTAGTTTCCGAACAATCACAAATATTTTTATTTTTAGGCATTGTTAACATTATCGAAATTGCCGCTGATAGATTTCAAATAATGGATGAAGAGCAATACAGGAGTGTGGATTGTGGTGAAGGATTTTGACACGATATTATTGGTTTAATTTAAATTAAATTTCAATTTTTTAATTATATTTTTACTGAGAAAAATTATTAAAAATTAAAGAGCATATACGATAATAATCCTATATAAAAATAATCCTGTAAGTTAACGAACGAAATCGCAACTATATACATAAATGTTTATTTTTATTCATAAAATCAGGCAAATATTTTCATTTTTATAAAGAGAAAAGTATCAAAAATTTTCAAAAATAATAGACTAATTATCATGGCCGTGTAGCTCGTACACATACGACATCAATCGGCAGATAAGAATGGACTTCGCGTACATTAAAAAGGCCCCAGAATTTTGGATATTCAGACTAAAGCACTCCCCAAGTACAGAAAAAACTTTTAACATCAATAAAAACTTTATTCTGGAGGAAACTCGCACATCTTTTATGCATAGAGGATATTAATTTTTTTTTTCCAGACTTACTTTTCCTCCTTAAAATGTATTTGTTTGGGTTTTCTCTTTGAATTTAAGTTAAACGATCGAAGTTTTGCAATGAAAAGAAACCCGTAGAGCGAACCTACATACCCACAATTATGCAATGGATGTCGCCGTTGGTCAACTGGTAAAATTCTAAGACGATCTAGCCCTGTCAGTCAGCCTGTTGTAATCTCGCTATCTTTCAAAGAAATTGATATAGGGTGCTAAAATACTGCATTAATGTGTCATTTGTCTGCAGGCAGGTCATATTCGATAATGGGGTACATCGGCCCATGTTTATGCGTAGTCTCCATATAACCGTCAATTTTTGGTATTTTAGAGGTTTACAGCGCATTTTAAACCGAATTCGATGAAATTTGTTACTATGGTTTGTTATTATCAATGTTGATCTTTTTCATAATGGTATCACTCAATTTTCGGTTATTGGAAGGTAAAATATCGGTCCACGATTATCGATTATGGGATTTTAGGAAAAATTCCCATTATAAATTGCTGAAGTTTGTTTTTCGTGTGTGTTGAGGTTTGCAAAAATCGCTTGGAAAAATTGTCTGCTTAGGTCCACTTTTTGGTATACCCTTATATTAAAATCCCCACCATTATTCATTGGAGTATATTTCACGTCAGTGTAATATAGCTCCTCCCATTCTTGATTTTATATTTTCAAGATTTTCAATGGGCTGGTAAATGAATACCAATGCATTTAAGGTTTGTAATTTTGCACATATGTAGTTGAAGATTTAAAAGAGAAGAAAAATAATTTACAAAATTTTGTTGTTGTTTTTGGTGATTGAATATTGGATATGAATATTTTTCACTACAAACATTCTTGAATTAGTGTAGATTCGAAAAACTAAATAAAATTTTTTGACACCGGAAATGGGGGGGTCCCCTTAAATGATCTCCATGCCAAACCGCTGCAAACACTGATTATTTTGAAATATGATTTGCTGCGGCTAAGATTTGTTTTTCTCTTTTAAGTTGAACTTAATGAACGAAGTTTTTTTCTAAAAGAAAAGCAAACCGAAAGCAATTTGCATTTTCGTCGAAGTTATTTCGAAATCGCAGCTGCGATGTACATTAAAATTTATCGAGATTTGAAAATTGAAAATAGAAGCAAATTATAAACGTCAGAAAGACTCAGAGCTTTTTATTCTTTTTTTTAATTATATATTTCTATTATATTTTTGCATAAAATCGGAAATTCGATTCAACTGGAAAACTTTTTTAAAGTAAATCCTTCATTATCGTTTCATATTAAAATGAAAATGCACGAATTAGCAAATCAAGCAAATTAGTTCGTTATGGAAGAAGTAAAGGCAAAACATAGACTTAGCAGAAAAATTTTAAACCTAAAAATTACAATGATTAAAAAAATATACTGGAAATCGAGTTTGGAACTCATGAGCAGAAGTTTGACTATTTTCAAGTATAGACTATTTTATAAATTATTTTGAAATAAATCAGTAATCATCAGCTCCATATTTTTAAATGAAGTGGGTGTGCTGTATAGTCGACATGTACTGATCATATTCTATAATGTATGTCATAAAACAATCTGGTCAAGCAGGATTAGGGTTCGACTGTAATTACTAAGAATTTTTCGAAATTAAAGGTAAAAACTGGAAGTTTTTGTGTCCGGCATTTTGGGATAGACATTAAAATAAACTTTTTTAAATTTTTATAATTTGAAAATAGTATTTTGGCTGTTTCACTTTATGCTTACCAGAAATTACTCTTGATTGCGTTAGGTATAATTGTAACAAGTTCGTTATAATCGAAATAAAATAAATGAAAACTATATTTGGGACCCAAAAAGATAAAAAACAATATGTCTCGTTATAACCGGCGTTCATTTTATTTTATTTTATAAGACCATATTTAATATTACGTAGTTAACAACAAACCCGAGCTTATAAAAACTAATATTCATTATAAAATACTAAAATTTAAATTTTTAATTATTCTAATTATTCTTGGCTCCCCAGCCATAAAATACAAACAATAATAAGAAAAGAGATGAGATTATGTCCAGTAAACCAGTAGTAAAAAGAAGAATAATAAATTTCAAAACCACAAATCATTGCTGTAAACCAAAATATAGATGAAGTTTTCTTTTAAACACATTATTAGAATGGGAGAATATTCTTAGATCATATGGCAATAAATACCAACATCGTGCTACCCTAACTACAAATGATCTTGCATAAATGGATTTATAAATTCTTGGTATCACCACTTGAGGGTTTCTCGAAGAATGTGAAAAAGAAAACGTGCTGGTTAATGGTTTAGGCTCGCCAGTTGTTATTATATTATAAAATGTCAGTATATTTCGATAAGAAATGAAATTAAAAAAAGAACAACCTAAAAAGCGTTTTACATATTCAGATATAGGTCTTCTGACTGGAACATTATATATAAAACGCACAACAGCATTCAAAGTCCTACGTAACCGAGCAATATTTATACCAATACAACCTGATACAATTTCAATACCATACAGGATATTTGACAACAGTATAGCATGAGCTACTTTCTTCTTAATATTAATAGGCATATATATATTTGATGCATAAATTTGGCTTAGTGATCCCCAAATTCTACCGGATAAAGTATCTACATGGTGCCGAAACGATAGTTCATTATCAAGAACCACGCCCAATAGTCTATGGTGGGTTACAAAGTCTTTTTAAACATACTCATACTGTATATATTCAATCTTGTCCACAAGTCCAAGTTCAAATGGAGAATATTTTTCATATAAGTATTATTATTATTTCATATTAGTATTATTCAGTATTGCGAACACGAAAACGCAGCTAATTTTTTAAACGATGTTTCTAAAACCTTAACAATAAATTTGATCTATAACAACGCGTCTATTTTAGTTCAATATTTATGCAAGACATATACTGAAAATCATAACTTCCCAGTTACATTTCCATGTTTCATCGTGACTTTAATGATTTCTAAAGTAACATATTTTACGTACATACATATTTTAATTTAAATCTACAGAGATAACATTAACACACTCGATGTATTTCAAACAAATTTTTTTCCAGAAGACGAAATTATGATGACGCCATCATTGAATACTTAAATCACAATGGAGGGTCATCTGTACAACAAAGATGCTCGGACAAAGATTAGGCATGCATCAGTTAATGGTGATACCGGGCAACATCCAGAGAAGTTGCAGACACAACAAACAACGAATATTCTTGGGGCCAAATCTGTTTCTAAAAATAATAGCACGTCGACTATGGCCGACTATGGTGATAGCGCACAAATCTGTACAAATATGTCATCTGCTGGTAACGCACACAGATATTCGCCAGTAGCAAACGACAGAATCAATGAGGAGCGAAGTGATGATTATGACGACGACTCGGATGTTGTTGTTGGACACGTAAGAAACGGTTGTGATATTAATTTAAAATTAGAAACATCAAAAGAAACCCTTTGTGAGAAACTACAAAATATGTATTTCGAATCTGCATCCTGCCCCAAGGACACTTTAAACGACAGAGGCAAATTGTCTCTGCGCAGCAATGAAAATCAAAATAACGGAGATCTTCGCTTTAGTATGGCTGCAGATGGCTCTTCCGATGGTGCAATGGACACGAATGGTGTCGAATGGTCGGCACCGAACAAACATATTTCCGATACAGGTAATGCTTTTACTAACCCTAATTGTGACGAAAATGACTATGCGAAAAATACCACATCGGCCGCAAATAAAATTGCTTCCAATACTGCATGTCAAACCCTAATTCGAAATGATAATTATTTAAATGCATGTTTATCGACTGAAAATCAACAATATTGCCAAAATCACCACCACCACCAAACCAGACAACATCAAAATCCATTGGCTAACGCTTTGTCTACCAAACCCCCATTCTGCACTAATTACAATTCTGCTTGCCTAAATCAAAACCAAAGACAGTCGTTATTTTCGAAATCCCAATCATTTGACATCGGCCAGGATCTGCCATCCATTTCGTATATTGAAAATGATGATGATATGTTTTCCCAACTGTCAGAGACCAATAAGGATAGCCAGCAGGACACTCAGCAACGGCAAGACGTCATGCCAGGAGATACACCACAACAGAATGTGCATCAACCCAATGATGATGAAGTCAACAAAAGTTGCCGGACGACCGATGGATCAGATGAAGGAACAAGTAAATGTGGAATGCCTACGAAGACGCAATCACTGGAATCTCGTCCAATATACCCCAATGTCCCATACAGCCCATATGCTAGTCCTTACAGTAGTCCAAGAACGAACAGGCGAAGACCGCCCTTACGAGAATCTAGGCGTATTTCTATTGAGCAGAGTGGAAGTTTTCTGCAGTTAAATCAATACAAACTAATGGACCAAATTGGTCAGGTATGTTCATTGCATTTGCTAATAGTATTCTTTATGTATTTATTTGTGAATTGTCAGTTTCTTTTTTCTAGTTTTCATTATTTTCGAAATATGTTTAAATATTACAGATCTTATACGTGCTTAACTATTAGATATCACAATAAAACCTTTTGGGTTTTTGGTATATTTAGATTTCAAAAACATCTTATTCGAGAGTTGGGAATCGAAAATATGACTGTGCAGCAGGGTGCGTAGAATGATTAAAATACGCTCTTTCTCGCGAATGCTCACGGCGAAAATTCGAATGTTTTCAATTTATCGCGAATGATAAAGTTACAATGAATGAACAAGCATTTGCAATCTCTCGCCAATGTTCGTATTGTACGAAAAATTCACGAACGATAAAATTTCGCAGCAAGCGTCATTCTTTTGAAAAAAACTCAAAAAACAAATGTTTGCGAATGCTCGCGAAAACTTCAAAACAACATCAGACAAAAATATCGTAAACCAGTAAGGAAAGTAGTAAAGTCGGACGGAGCCGACTATATGATACCCTTCACCACTTTGGGTATATTCAACAGATGAATCCTAACAGACGTCGCATTTTTAAAGGACCAGTAAAATGAAATTGGATCCATAAACATGCCATTCTGCAATTCATTACGCTGTACCAAATTTCGTGCAAACCGAAAGATATTAAGGGACTTTGGTACAAAATTTACCTTAAATCGGACGAAAATATATATGGGAGCTATATCTAAATCTAAACCGATTTTCAGGAAACTTAACACACATCATTCCAGGCCTAATTGATTACCCTGTGCCAAATTTCGTGCAAATCGAAAGATATATAGGGACTTTGGTGCATCATTTACATTAAATCGGACGAAATTATATATGGGAGCTATATCTAAATCTGAACCGATTTTCACGAAACATAACACACATCATTCTAGACCTAATTCATTACGCTGTGCCAAATTTCATGCAAATCGAAAGATATATAGGGACTATGGTGCACCATTTACATTAAATCGGAGGAATATATATATATATTATATATATATATATCGGATCATAAATGCGACCTGTACTTTGTTCACAAAAATACATGCGTAAATCGACTCAGAAAGTGATTCTATGCATATTCTCAAAAGGAATCATGTGTCTATCTCGTTTCCTTTTGCCTGTTACAAACATATGCACAAAGACATAATACCCTGTACCACACCCTGCAAGCATTTGGAAGTGAGTTTTATCTTCCAAGAGAATAAAGTGCATTTTCGTAACTTCTTTATTTTAAAAAAGCGATTTACAATAACAATTGTATTGCACCGTTACATTTAACTTCTTGTGGTTATTCCTGAATTGTGGAATTTAGACAAAATTAAGCAGGCTTAGTTTGATCGTGAATTAAGGTGATATCGGTTCTAGTGCTACATAAGTTTAAATTAAAGTTAATAATATTTATTTTCATAGAAAAAAAATAAAAAAGATGTAATATTTTGTGTATGTGGAAAAAGATTGTTACAGGGCAGTGAGAAATTTGTTTACGTGTCAAATCCATTGCTATGAAATGAAATTGTCAATGTTTTTATATATAACAAAGTAAAAAAATACAACATAAAAAAAACAAATTAGTGCTATGTGGACATATCCTAGTGAAACACTTGAAGACTTAATGTGATCGCCTAAGAAAAGAAACAGTCACTTAAATTCTGGTATAGCATCGTCACCGACAATCGCTTTCTTATCGAATATTATAAAGTTCACGGGAAAAGTTGTACCGCGCCTGCGTTACTACAAACTTTACCGCCTGAGTAACTCATAGTGGTCACGGAGAAGATCCTACCAAGTAGTATCGCGGGCGTGGTACAACTCTTCCCGTGAACTTTAGCATTTTCGATAAGAAAGCGATTGTCACCGACGATGCTATACCAGAATTTAAGTAACTGTTTCTTTACTTTAGGCGATAAAAAATGCTTGCAGGGATGTCGTCGGCTGCTGTCGCTGCCGCCATCCATCCTCATCATGCCATGGCATGCTGCTGCCGCCGTGCCTTGCTGTGTTCCGCCGTTCGTTTTCGATTTCATTTCATAGCATGTGTATATAAATTTTAAATATCACTTTAAAATTTCACTTTTTGCACATACACAATATAACATTCTATATTTTATTTTTTTTCCCTTAGGATAATTAAAAGCATTCAATTAATTTCAACTTAACACTATAACCGATCTCAACGCAATTCACGAATAAACTAAGCCTGTTTAATTTTGTCTAATTTCCTCATTTCGAGAATAACTGTAAACTATCGCTTTTACATAGAAGTGAAGTAAAGAAAAATATACTAAAACAAGTTAAATGTAACGGTGCAATACAATTGTTAGTGTAAATCGCTTTTTTAAAAAAAAAAAGTTACGAAAATGACACATTTTTCTCTTGGAAGATAAAACTAACTTCCAAATGCTTGCAGGGGTGAAGGGTATAAATAGTAAACACACACACACAACTAATGAATGTGTGTGTAGCAGAAAGTGTGTGGAATAACAAAACACATGTCCAACAACTATTGAGTTCACGCCCTGCAAGCATTTTTTATCGCCTAAGTAAAGAAACAGTCACTTAAATTCAGGTATAGCATCGTCGGCGACAATCGCTTTCTTATCGAAAATGAGAAAGTTCATAGGAAGAGTTGTACCACGTCCGCGATACTACTTGGTAGGATCTTCTCCGTGACCACTTTGAGTTACTCAGGCGGTAAAGTTTGTAGTAACGCAGGCGCGGTACAACTCTTCCCGTGAACTTTATAATTTTCGATAAGAAAGCGTTTGTGGGCGACGATGCTATACCAGAATTTAAGTGACTGTTTCTTTAATTAGGCGATTAAGTCTTCTGCTTAATTTTGTCTAATTTCCACAATTCAGGAATAACTGTAAACTATCGCTTTTATATCAAAGTGAAGTAATGAAAAAGATACCACAAGAAGTTAAATGGAACGGTGTAATACAATTGTTATTGTAAATCGTTTTTTTAATAGAAGGGAGTTACGAAAATGACAGTTTATTCTCTTGGAAGATAAAACTCACTTCCAAATGCTTGCAGGGCGAAAGTTTGTTATTATTGTTGTTTTGACCATTCGCGAGAATTCGGGAATGTTTGTTTTCATTCGTGAGAGAATGTCAGAAAGAATTTCAACCACCAAACGAAACGAACGAACGTTGTTGTGTGCTCTCACTCGTTTGTTATGTGTGTGCGACCATTCTTTGGCGAATGTTTGTTTGGTAAAGAATTTATCGCCATAGATTCATTCTTAAAATGAGCACAAAACGAAAAGAATGTATTTTGAATCATTAGCGAGCGAATTTTTGCGCACCCTGATATTTTCTCTCTCTGGAATCACTGTACTGGTCACTAACAACGATTTTCTCGGTTGTTTGTCTTTCTAGGGATCATACGGACTTGTTAAACTCGCTTATTCGGAGGAAGATTCGACGCACTATGCAATGAAAATATTGTCAAAACGACGTTTACTACGCCAAGCTGGACTTCTAAGACGGGGGCCCAAAAAGGGAACATCACCTTTGGATCGTGTATATCGTGAAATTGCTGTCTTAAAAAAATTGGACCACCCAAATGTTGTTAAATTAGTGGAAGTTCTGGACGATCCTTTAGAAGATTCACTATACATGGTATTCGAATTGGTGAAAAAAGGCGAAGTATTAAGCATTCCGACAAACAATCCGCTAACTATAGAACGTGCGTGGAGTGTTTTTCGTGATACATTACTTGGATTGGAATATTGTGAGTATAAAGTTATTTAAATTATTTTCCAAAGTTCACTATAAAAAAAAAAGACGAAAACCAAAAAGATCGTCGTGACCGAACTTTTTTCATTATCTATAAAAGAAGAATATTTTAAAATAGCAAATTTCAAATTTTATTATTCAGGCAATTTCAAATTTTATTATACTCCAATAAATATTAAAAATCTGCACAATTATAACAACTGGTAAATTTTCTTTGCAAGAATTTGTAGATACTCAGTAACACAACTGTCAAATTTTCATCTGCTAGAACCGCGAGCTAAAAACACGAAATTAGGCAAACATATTATTGTGGATCATTCTTTATGATGTTGCTAATTCCACGTAGACAGCCATTATTCGATGTATTTTTCTTATATAAGTGTTTATTCTTCTACTTCTGCAGTGCATTACCAGCGAATTATACATGCCGACATAAAACCAGGAAATCTCTTATTGACTGAATGCGGACGGGTGAAGATTGCTGATTTGGGAGTCTGTAATGAATTCATCGGAGAAGATTCAACCATGACAAATTACTCTACGGCGGGAACACCAGCGTTCAGAGCACCGGAAACATTAAATGTTGGACAGGTAATTGTATAATTTGAGTAGTATATTCATTCATCACAACAACGATCTTCGCAATATCTTTATCTCTCAATAAGCATACAAATAAGAAACAAGTAAAAATACCGTGCAAAATATCTAAAATCGGTCGGAGAGCTATGACAGAGGATTTTTTGTACTGTCAAAATTCTTTTAAAATTCCCGTCGAAGAAGTTTTCCAAGTCCATAAAAATACCTAAAACAGTATATGGGGACTAAGTAATGCCCACTGTTGTCGCATGTAAACATTGTGGAACTGCTTACGTCTCCTTTTACTCTCCAAACTGATCTTCCAAGACAATATATTTCCTGTATCATAATTGTCCATAACATTTTGGAAGATTTTCAGTTAAGCCATAATATGACTTGTTTCGTTTAAACATTCAAGGAATGCTTTTAAAATGCTTAAGAACCTAGTAATTAATTTGCATTGTTTTTTTTTTATTATTTTGCAGAATATATATTGTGGAAAAGCGGCCGATATTTGGGCACTGGGTGCTACACTTTACGCTTTGGTTTTCGGCAATGTGCCATTCGTGGCCGACTCTGTTCCAGTTCTTTACGATAAAATAAAAAATAAACCACTTACTTTTCCGGAGAACATAAGGATTCCCCTTGACTTGAAAGACTGCATAGAACGCATGCTAACTAAAGATCCACATGCTCGAATTACTTTGCCACAGCTAAAGGTAATAACTTTTCGATTACAGTCTCTTCAAACAAATGCTTAAATACGATTTGTATTATTTAGATTCACCCTTGGGTAGATGCATCAGGCACTCATCCATTGCCAAGCGAAGAGGAGAACTGTCGATTGGTGCAGGTCGATGATAATGATATTAACTCAGTAGTCCGTAGTATACCAAAGCTAGACACACTCATTCTAATTAAAACCATGCTGAAGCAACACTCATTCGGCAATCCATTTATGCGAGGTGTTTCAGGGCGCGCTCCACAGCGCGGTGGTTCCCGTTTGGAACGTTTTGTACGTGCTGGACGCTCAAATTCGGCCCCAGGGTCCTATCACAACATAGACGATAGGTGAGTCGACATTTAAAAAGTCTATGACAGACCAACTAATCGGTTTTTATTTCAGACAATTATCTGCCGAAAATATACTTCCAGCTCTGACTGAGCATACCCCTTCAAATTGCACAAATGAAGGATTCCAATAGACTCCTCATTCCATAGCACAACAAGGAAAAAAATTGAAACTATCCGAACCCACTTATATACACATATAAACACTAACATATATACATATGCGTTGTTGCGTGACCTAGAAGTTATACATACAATATAGACATGTCATTGGATATGACAGTCAGAATGGAACACCGAGTTTGGTTATTATGAATGCTTGTCCATTTCCGTGTCTACAGAAATGTGCATGGATCTGGGCGCAATGATAATGACTCTCATCTGTGTTCAAAATACCCCCAGACATAAGTTTGCACAAATTAGAAATACCAAAATGCATATTTCTGCTGGGCAAAACTGCCTTTCGCGTCAGTGCTTTAATTAGTTTTAATTATCCATAGTTTTTGTCTTTTTCTTATCTAATATTAATGATATAAATTTATGATTATTATATAGATTTAAACTCGAAACACTGTTGGACCATTGGTCTCACGACGTGAGATTGGATATGTATTTTTTCTTACTTAATTAAGAGTTACATATTTAGAGTTAATGTACATTACTATTTAAAGGATAAAAAAGCTTTACACGCAACATATGTACATTATTATAATTATTAGTTATGCTAATTTGTTTAAAACCCATACAAATCGAATCAAATCTATATACAAAATTGCAAACATTGGCAGAATGTTATACACACTCGCATTCAACCTTATTCACATTTTTATATGCCTAATAATCTGTGACAAAAAAGCCTATATGCTGGCGGTTATTTTAAATATTTGATTTCGAATAAAAACTTGAAAATGTTACAATGCAAACAAGAATACCCAAGAACTGACGTTTTAATAAGACATCTAATTATTTTAGAGAGATCTTAATTTTTTTGTTCGAAACAAAATATAAGTGCACATATTTTGAGTTTTATGCTTTTCTGGTTGGTATCCTTGGCAGCAAGAGAAGACTAATACCATAGACAGACGACAGCCTTAATTTGCATTAAAAATTTCTTAATTTGAATTAATATTTACCCCTGACAGACGAGAGTTTCTGCATTTACGAAACAGTTTTTTGCTTCAAAACAATTGTTTGTCTGTGTGTATGATGAAATTTTTTTACATTTGTTTCGATATTTTTCGGGATTACATCTTTAGGAAATAGACACATGACATAAAGGAGGAATAGCAACTACGATCTTAGCAAAACAGCTCCCAATTTAAAAAATCGTTGAAATTTGCCTTCATTTCTTATTTTTATTTTCATAAATATAAATAAATTTGACAAGAAACAATTAATTTTCGACAGCATTGCCATATTGAAATTGCCTAATTCAGTATAAATTCAGTTTGATTTTGTGCATTAACAACACATAAAAATGAGGATAATGTACAAGTTAATCACCCTTATTACGGTAGGCGTAGTCGTTGTACGTCAGCTCTCGTAGGCGTAGTCGATTGCGTTGTCGTAGTCGTTTTTGGTCGGTATTATGTAAAATTTTCGGCAACGCCAAATATTGTAATAGATTTTTCTTTTACTCTGTTACAAAACCAAATCAAAAATTGTTATTTTAGAACCCTTTTTATATTGTATTGGAAAAACTATGTAATTTTGTTTGTTTTCTAATTAATTTTTGTGGTAATTGTAATTCTTATAAATATTGAGTAATGCAATAAAATAAAGTTGAATGTAACAGTTAATCAGTAAATATTTTTAAAATGCAATTTTAACACATTTTTATATATGTTTGTATGCTGTCGTCAAAAAAATCGTTCACGACAGATTTGGCGTATTGTAACGCCTTTCATAATACCGATTTGTCGTATAAATGAATTAAGGTTGTTAATGCAAATTAAGGCTGTCGTCTCTCTAGGCTATAAGGCATGGATTCGCCAACCTATAGACTTTATATAATAGGGCAAATTCGTATTTGGGGTATTATACAAGGTGGTCTCATGCAAACAACAACTATTCACAGAAAATGTATTTCTTGAAATTCGCCTTCTAGATGACTTGATATTTGGGCCATGAATTTGTGTTTCTATAAAAGCATGGTATAATTATTACAAGGTAAGGAACAGCTACCCACTAATTACAATTTTTACTCAATGTGGCTTGTTCCATCAAATCAAAATACATATTATGTGTATGTATGTATTGTTTTGAATACTATGTCAAACATGACATAATTAAAGAAGGTATTCTCATTTGGGAATTGGATGATGGCAACCTTTTTTTAATTTGGAACTCATCTATCGGAGACTATGTCCATTGTGATCATCCTTTTATATAACCTGTAAAGAAAAGAAAACGAGAGAGTGGAGGAGCAAGGCGAAAAGATAGTGAGAGAAGAAGAGCGGAAGAAAAGGTTATTTTAGCCATGTCAAATTTTTGACAAAGCCTAGGATCTGGTTTGGGTCTATTTTGAAGAAGAAGACTAAACTCTTTGTACATTAGAACTTTTTACCGGGTTAACCTACTTTATGAGGATTTATTTGACGTATATGCAAAGGATTTGACAATTGAAACCCACTGGGTTAACGAAATCCGGTTAAATGTAAACGTACTACTAGATTATCAATTTCATATCTTCGAAACTGTTAATGTCTTCTGCCAATCAGCGATGGACATTTACAGAGGATGTGTTCAATTGTTTCCAGTTATTCTTCGTCCTCACATAGACGACAGTAATCCTCTCCACTGGAGTCCCACTTCGAAGTGAGAGATCTAATCTTGCAGTGACCTGTTATGATCCCCACAACGATTTTGATCTCCCTCTTATTGTGTGTCAGCAGCGAAGACGTTCTTTTACGAGAGAATTCAGCCCATATGTTGCCGACTACCTCGCAGTAGAACGCACGGATTCTCCAATAAAATAGCCGATGGGGGGTTTCACAGAACTCTCAATCGGAAGATGGGACGACTGAGCCACCTCGAGCAAGCTCGTCGGCTATCTCATTCCCTTCAATGTCGCAATGTCCAGGAACCCAACATAAACCAACTATCTGTCGTATATCATTCAAAGCGTACTTGCAATCATGAACTGCTTTTGAGTTTATGTACGCGACTTCACCGATTTGAGGGTGGCCTGACTATCGACATATATAGTCACCGGTCCTGTAATGTCGACATTAAGTGATTTTACTATCTCGGCCGCTTTCGTGATTGCAAGAATCTCTGCTTGAAAAACGCTACAGGGATTGTTGAGTTTATATGAGTTATATGTTCCTAATTCCCTACAGTAAACGCCTGCGCCAGTGCCTTCCTCCATCTTTGACCCGTCTGTAAAGAATGACAGACCTGGCAGAGGTAAGGAGCCACTAGTCCAGGGGGGTTACTCTGTATTGCGTTGCGAAAGCCAGTGCGATGCGAAAGCTAAATGCGTTAAGAGTGCAATTTGGTACTCTGTATCGCTCACGCAAACGCATTCGCAAAATAAATCCAAAATAGGGCAACACTGGCACCACAAAGTAAACAATAACGAAAAATGACAAAAGGAAACGTCAAAAAATTGTAAATAAAAACATATTTTTATGTGGTGCGAGTGTTTTTTTAACATTAAACATTTAAAAACATATTTTTATGTGGTACGAGTGTTTTTTTTAAACAAAAATGACGAACCAACTAAAAAAAGAATTTTAAGAGAAAATAGAAGTACGAATAATGTGTCAAACGTTTTCAAATATTTAATTTTTATAAATTTGTACAAAATGTTCGTCTCAATAAAGATGCGTTTATGTTTTTAATAAACGCTTTTAAAAATGACCTCGTCGTTCCAAATAGATCCACAGCAATTCCAAATCCAATAAAAGTGGACGTTGAAATTGCTTGGACAAGGTGGTTATCAACACCAACCTGTAAATATGCACACATAGTTTCACATTTTATATATAAAATATAAAACATTACTTTTTCCCAACCAGCGACATCTCTTACAGGAGGTCCATCTGAATTAAGGTCATCGTCCAGTTTTCTCTACAATTTTTTGGCGCGTCGTTTCGCATTTTTTTTTTTTTTTTTTTTTATATATTATTTTGGTTGGCCCACTTTCTATAGGGATAGAAGGTTTAGTGCCATGTATCCGTATGTAGCTTTGCTACGAATTTGACTTTATCCATAGATGGTGGTTTGTGTTTTGCAGGTTGACTTCGATCTTCTTTAAGAATTTGACCACAATGTTCAGACTTTCTAAGCCTTGTGTATCAGTGAACTCTTCTACTGTGAAGGAGTCACATAGTAGCGAAAAGCATCTTCTTTTGCTATTAAATTTACGAAAATTAAAAATTTCATGCGCAGCTGTTTGGATTTTGTTGAACGACTCGTAATTTATAGGTTATCCGTATTTAAAAACACACGTGTTAGTTAAGCGAACGCTTAACAACCGCCATTTTGTAAAAATCTATTTTTAAGCCCGTGGGCGTGTAGTACTCATTTAAAATTTTTTTACGTCTTTCTTGTGAGCCGTCCGAGGACGAACTGGTCGTTTCGCATTTGAACTCTACAACTGGCCCCTTACCAAATCGCTGTGTTGCACCATAAAATCTACTAAAGTTTGGAACTGACGGTGCTGAGTCATCAACTGTAACTTTTTTTGGCTTTCACCCAAAATAATTATCAATTTAGATGTAAATAAAAACTTTAATTGTTCTTATTTACATGTTTCGCTTCATTTGCGTTTGCTATTTTGTTAACGCAAGATATTTGCGTTTAACGAACGAGTTTGACATGCGTTTTCGTATTACAGATTGCGGTGATGCCACATTTGCGTAAAGTAGATGCGAAAGGAGATACGAAAACGAATTAGAGAGTACCAATTACGCGATGCGATACAATTTTTCTTACGCATCGCAATACAGAGTAACCCCCCAGGATTCCCTACTAGGAAACTCAACTTTGATGTCATTAAAGTCCCTATGAG